CCAGTGGTACTGGGGATGGAACCCAGGAGGGCTTTACCACTGAGCTACATCCCCAGTGTCCCCCAACCCCAATTTTGAGATGGGGTTTTATTAAGTGGCTTAGGGCCTTTCTAAGGTGTTGAGGCTGGCCTCAAACTTGCGATCCTCCTATCTTTGCCTCCTGGGGTTACAGCCATATGCCACCAAGCTAAGTGCTTTTAAAAAAGTATATTTCCATAAAAAGCTTAAATAATGAATACTAATTAATTTGTTTTTTGTTTTGGTAGAAAAATTATTGTTGACAGTTTACACAATTTAAGAAGTGTTTTTATTTTTTTATTTTTAAATTTTTTTTTTTAGAGAGAGAAAGAGAGAGAGAAAATAGAGAATTTTAATATTTATTTTTCAGTTTTCGGCAGATACAACAACTTTGTTTGTATGTGGTGCTGACAATCGAACCCGGCCGCATGCATGCCAGGCAAGCGCGCTACCGCTTGAGCCACATCCCCATCCCCTTATTTTTTTTTAAAATCTTTATTTAAAAAAATTTTTTTTGTTTTAGTCATAGATGACATAATTTTATGTGGTGCTGAGGATTAAATCCAGTGCCTCACACATGCTAGGCAAGCACTCTGCCACTGAGCTACAGCCCTAGCCCCCTAAGAAGTGTTTTTAGTTGCTTCATCTAGGAATATGAATAGTGCTGCCCTGTTAGAATAAAGATCTTTTGATGTTTTATTTATTTTCACTTTTTTATTTTTTTAAAAGATTATCCTTTTTTTTTTTAAGAGAGAGAGAAAATTTTTAATATTTATTTTTTAGTTTTCGGTGGACACAACATCTTTGTTTGTATGTGATGCTGAGGATGAAACCTGGGCAGTATGCATGTCAGGCGATCGCGCTACCGCTTGAGCCACAACCCCAGCCCCCTTTTGATGGTTTAGATGGCCTGAAAAGAAAATGTTATTTGACTTATTGCATTCAACACAATTGAGTTTCTTTTTTTTTTTTTTAATTTAATTTTATTTTTTTTTAAAATAGAGAGAGAGAGAGATTGAGATTATTTAATTATTTATTTAGTTTTCGGCAGACACAACATCTTTGTTGGTATGTGGTGCTGAGGATCGAACCCGGGCCACACGCATGCCAGGTGAGCGCGCTACCGCTTGAGCCACATCCCCAGCCCAACACAATTGAATTTCAAGAAAGACTTGTAGTTAAAAATATTTTAGATTTTGAGATAATACAAAAATCAGGATTATAGATTTTTGTAGATAAATATAACATCAGGATTTATTAAAAGTCTTGGATTTTTTTTTTAAGAGAGAGAGAAGTTTTTCATATTTATTTTTCAGTTTTCGGCGGACACAACATCTTTATTTTATGTGGTGCTGAGGATTGAACCCAGCGCCCCGTGCATGCCAGGCGAGCGCGCTACCGCTTGAGCCACATCCCCAGCCCTTGGATTTGTTTTTATGTAATGAACTTGAAATTTTTGATTTCTTTATTTTGGTAACCCAGCTCTATGAGTATGTAAGGTAAAATTATTGAAGTCCTTTTAGAAAAATAATTCGTTAGGAATAAGATTCATTTACAGGGAAATTGAATATGGGCAGGAATTTTATCAGCCTAGAGAAGCAATGAATCCTAAAGAAGTTTGCAAAGACAGCTAACTTCTTTAAAGAAATTATTCTTTAAAAATTTTTTTTGGGGGGGCTGGGGATGTGGTTCAAGCGGTAGCGCTCTCACCTAGCGTGCGTGTGGCCGGGGTTCGATCCTCAGCACCATGTACAAACAAAGATGTTGTGTCCGCTGAGAACTAAGAAAAAAATAAATAATTGTTAAAATTCTCTCTCTCTCTCTGTCCCCCTCTCTCTCTCACTCTCTCTTTAAAAAAAAAATAATTGTTTTTTTAGCTCTTGATAGACCTTAATTTTATTTATTTATATGTGGTGCTGAGAATTGAACCCAGTGCCTCACACATGCCAGGCAAGTGTGCTACAGCTGAGCCCCAGCCACCAGCCCTAAAGAAATTACTCTTAATTGTTGAAATAAGTTTTCTTTTTAGAGATAGGTAATTGGATGAAGATAAAGTGGATCTGGGGTTTTTGAATTTCCTTTTTCTTTTTTTTTGGTGCGGACTGAACCTAGGGGTTTTTCACCACTGAGCTACAGTCCCAGTCCTTTTTAGTTTTTGTTTTGAAACAGGGTCTCACTAAGTTGCTGAAGCTGACCTTGAATTCGAAATGTTTCTTCCTCTGCCTTCAGAACAGCTGGTATTACAGGTGTGCGTCACCTTGCCTAGCTGTTCAGACATTTATTTAATCTGCAGCCTGCGTGTGTACTGTGTGTGTGAGTGTGGTGGTGATGGTTTTAGGAGAGGAGGCCTAGAGAATGATGTCTCTAGAATAACAGAATAACATACTTTTAAGATAGTCTTATTAAATATTTAATTTTGTCTAACAGAACAATTATAGCATGCCTGAAAATTTCCTTTTGTGGTAAGGTGATGAGGGAGTAGTGAGATTTGGCAGCAGTGACCACTATGTCAGTCTGCTGAGGCACATTAGAATTGAAAGGTGGTAGTGACTGTGTATGTTCTGTCAGAACTGGGACTTTTTATGAATCAGGGTTTATAACCCTCACAAATCACTAATTGCCTTGGCTTTATATGAGAAAAGGAAAATAAGAAATGACATATTTTTTTCTTTTGGTGGTGGGGATTTAAAGTAGGGCTTCACACATTCTGCCGTAGACCTATGCTCCCAGCCAGTAATGAAATTTTTGTTGGTGGTATTGGGGATTGAACCCAGGACTTCCTGCTTGCTATACAAGTGCTTTACCACTGAGTTATGTCCAACTCTTTTTTAAAATGTATATTTGTTTTTTAGTTGTATTGAACACAATATCTTTATTTTATTTATTTTATGTTGTGCTAAAGATTGAACCCAGGGCCTTGCACATGTTAGGCAAGCGCTTTACCACTGACCACAACCCCAGCCCCTTTGTTTTTATTTTGAAACAAGGTCTTGCTATAAACTACCTAGGCTAATCTCAAACTTGTGATCCTCTTGCCTCAGCCTTGAGCTAGTAATTTTTTTTTTTTTTTTTTGGTACCAGAGATTGAATTTAGGGGCACTTAACCATTAAACCACATTCCCAGCTTTTTTTATTCTTTATTTTGAGACAAGGTCTCACTAAGATAATTAGGGGTTCGATAAATTGCTGAAGCTGGGTTTGAATTTGGGATTCTCCTGCCTCAGCCTCCCAATCCTCTGGGATTATTGATGTGTACCACTACATCTGGCATTAATGAATAGTATTATGTTGGTGTGCACTCAGATTGTTTAAAGCTGTAGAAAAAACTAATATAATAATCATTTAATGAAAGGCAAAACTATCTTCAATTAAAAATTTAGTAGGGCTGGGGGATTGCTAAGCATTCATGAAATCTTAGATTAGATTCCCACCAAATCATACACCCATGGGTGGTGGGGCAGGTAGAAAAAGAAAAACTGAGAAACAGATATAGGGGAAAAAAAATTCTCTACCAACCTCCACTTTAAAAAATAAACAAAGGAACCTTCATATCATAAATAATCTATGGAAGATTTGTTTAAGCAATGACCCTACTTGATTGCCTTGCTGTAAATGGAATTTAAGGTCTTGTGTATGCCCTACCACAGTCTACACCCCAAATTCCTGATCATATTTTTAGTGATTACTTTTGAGAACATTGATGTTTAAAGACTTTTTAGGCTCATACATTATTTCTTGGCAGGTCAACTCTTTAAAATCTCAGTATTTCCCTCATTATATTATCCAAGTATTTCATGTCCTTTTTCCTTCTTTGTTTCTCCTTTTTATAAAGAGAAATGATAAAGGAGAAATAACAGAGAAGTAGTAGTTAGTCGAATAGCATGATGAACTAACCCCCTTCCCCCCAGTCAGAAATGGAACCCAGGATCTTGCACATGCCAGACAAAGATTCAGCTATGTCTCTAGCCATTTAATTTTTTTTTTTGTTTTGAGACAAGGTCTCCCTAAGTGCTTAGGATGGCCTCTAATTTGCAATTATCCTGCCTTAGTTTCCCACATAGATGGGATTATGGGCATGTCCCACCATGCCTGAATAAGCTTTGTTTTTTAAAAGCTAATCTTTTATTAGCAACAAAAATTCCCAAAGTATGCATTGTCTTCTTTAGAGCAGCAAAAAATTCTTACTTTGCTTCTTATCCCAATGATGTTGCCATTGTTCAGAAAAATTTTTAGGTTTCTTTTGTGGAACGATTTTAAGGTCTGCATTTTATTGTTTTGAATAATTTAAGTGATCTAAAATATCAACTATTTGTCCTTGTGTCCAACCAAAATTTACTTGGCACCAAGACTTCTGAATAAACTGATAATTTCTGAATAAACTGAGTTAATGTTATATTGATTCTAAAACCAAAAAGATTTTTCTATGTGGTTTTAAGTGGATCTTACAAGGGTTCTAGAGAATTCCAGAAATGCATTGTGCAATAGCAACATTGTTAGAAATACATATTACATTAATTATTTTATAGTTACACATAAAAGGTGGTATATTAGGACAAGATTTTGTATTCCAGGGAGAAAGGGGGATTGAAAGGTTTTTTCTTTTATTTTATTTGTGTGTGTGTGTGTGTGTGTGTGTATTTTAATATTTTTAGTTGTAGATGGACAAATACCTTAATTTTGTTTATTTAGTTTTTTTATGTGGTTCTGGGGAAAGAACCCAGTCTCTCATGCATGCTAGGCCAAGTGCTCTACCACTGAGCCACAACCCCAGCACCCTGTGTTTGTTTTTTGGCAGTCTGAAGAAATGCATACTTGTCTGCATTTTTTTTTAAAGAGAGAGAGAGAGAGGGAGGGAGGGAGGGAGGGAGGAGAGAGAATTATTTAATATTTATTTTTCAGTTTTTGGCGGACACAACATGGTTGTTTGTATGTGGTGCTGAGGATCGAACCCGGGCCGCACGCATGCCAGGCGAGGGCACTACCCCTTGAGCCACATCCCCAGCCCTTGTCTGCATTTTTGTTTATACCTGATATTCATGTTGGTTGTAACCTTTGCTGGCCCAGGGCTTTTATTATTATATATATTTATAATTGAAAATGAAGAGTGCTAGAGTAACAACCAAAAATGTTCGAATATTTTAAATAAAAATTTACATGAACCATATAGACTAGAAAAAAGTCATATGTATATATTTGCTGTTTAATGTTTTTCCCTTGTTTTTTATCTTAAAAAAATTGTATTTCAAAACTATTTTAGTTTGCATTGATAGCTCTTTATTATGTACCAACTTAGTTTTTGTTTTTAAAATCTCTGATTATACTGAGAATACTGTGACTTCTTAAGCTCTCATGTTTTGATGACCTTTTTAGTTTCTTTCTAATGGCATTTTTCTCTTCCTCTCCTGAAACAGGAGAATTGTAAAATGACATTTCTGAGAAGTCAGCAAAGTTTTCATTTGTCAGTTTAAAATGTGTAATAAAATGTTTCAAAGAAATTAATAAATAATATTGGTATTCAAGTACTTTTTTCCCTTACAGTTTGAATAAATTTGTTATAATTTGGAATGTATTTTGTCAACCAGAGTCAATCATTATTAGTTGTCACTGTTACCTACAGGTTCAGTTGAGTCTGTGCTACATGTTAAGCTAAGCCTTTTCACTAGAATTTTAATTCACAGTGTTGACAACACAGTGAATTCAGTTTATAATCTTTTATTAAAACTTTTTTTGAGGGCTGGGGTCGTGACTCAGCGGTAGAGCACTCGCCTCACACATGCAAGGCCCTGGGTTTGATCCTCAGCGCCACATAAAAAACAAATAAATAAATAATTAAGATAAAGTTATTAAGAAAAACTTTTCTTGAAATAATAAAATGACTCTTAGCTAGTATGCTATTAGTTGGTATGCTATCAATCTCAGTAAAAAATGTTATCTTCACTGTAAAGCATAATATATCACTAACATTTTAAAGATTATGAAATAATTCCATCAATATTGAATTTTTTGTTTATCTAAACAAATGTTGATGTGTTTGCATATTAAATATAACTGTGTTCTAGGTTAACTTCTCAGCCTGGTGCTACGTTACCAAATGGACATAGTAGCTTATGTGAGTATTCTGTTATGAAACTGGTTGGTATTGAAATTTTTATAATGGTGTTAGATTTAAGCATTAAAGTGGGGAAGAAGAGAGCAATTTAATACTGTGCTCTTATATAGTTGGAAGTGACCTGAATTTCAGACATAGCAAAAATGTACATAATCATTGAATTTTGAAAAATCAGTATAACTGAAATAATTAAAATATTATGATAGATTATAGAAGTTATAAGAAAATTTAGATTATTGAGTATTAAAGCCTTTTAAGAGTTCAACTTTTGTAGTCTTTTAAAAGTAATTGTTAAATATTTTTTTATTTTCTTCCTTTTTGAATTTTGTACTTTGAAATGGAAATCTCTCTCTTCTTGTAGCCCTTCGAAGCCATCCCCTTAGAGGGGAAAAGAAGGGAGATGGGGACCTTTCTTGTATAAATGGTGACATGGAAGTCAGAAAAAGTTGTCGTTCCAGGAAAAACAGATTTGAAAGTGTGAACCAGAGTTTGCTGTTTGATCAACTAGTAAATAGGTATGAATGTTTATGTAGTAAGCAATTTTATTTAATTATTTGATTTTAAGCCTGTTTTTACAAAAATGATTTAAACACCCTCTGCAATAAACACAATTCTTTTAAAACTTAATCTGAATTAACAAAGGCTGGCAGTGACTATAAGGGTTTTCGTAAGGTTAGTATATTTAATATAATGTGTATAATAGCTAAAATTTTCTTATCAAGCGCTTGTGAATAGATGATAAAACTAATTTTATTTAAATTTCAATACTGTAGTCCTTTGATTATTACTCATTTCACATTTGTGTTTTTGACAGTTTTCAAGCAATATTAAGCTTCATTACTGACAGTGAATGGAAAGCTGGGGGTAAAACTTAGTGATAGAATGTTTGTATAGCATGTGCATGACCCTGGGCTGGGTCCTGTGCACTAGGGGGAAAAAAGATAATGGTAGTTTTGCTTAGTCATAATTTTGAATTAAAGATGTTTTGAGCCCGAGTACTTAGCGTTGAGTCACTTAGCTGGTGAGTGAGTTTCACCAATTGTCAGCTCATCATCTATATTCACAAAACTAGTCTTCTCAGAAAATATATTGTCTTAGTCCTTTTTTTTTGCTATGCTAAGAGACTGGGTAAATTATAAAGAAAAGGAATTTATTTCTCATGATCGTGGGGGCTAGAAAGTCTAGCTGAGACTCTTGAGGGCCTTCTTCCTGCATCAGAACATGGTGGAGGCATGGCATGGCAAGAACATGCAAGAGAAGCAGGGAGGAAGAGAAGAGAGGATAAGGGGAAAGGGGGCTGAACTCCTCCCTTTTATAACTAATACTGTTGTAGTAATTACCTTAATCCATTCATAAATATGGTGACCCAGTGACCTAATTACCTTTTAAAGGTCCTACCTCTCATTTCTGTTACATTGAGGATTAATTTTTTAACTCATGAACTTTGAGAAACATTTAAATCATAGTGTACATCATTCTACTTAGCCTTTAGATAGTTTTACAATTAGTATGATCTCCATTTCAGAGGAGAGGAAATAATAATATAGAGATAAATTTTCATATGTTATTATTTGTTAGGCACTTAGATCAGAACCTAGGCACATAGCAAATGTTATGAGATTGTTTATAGTATAAAATAAAAATTGCTAAGATATCAGCGTGTATTTCTTGGATACCAGTGTTCTACTGTAAAATTTCTAAAAATATATTCAGTTAATCTTTTAAAATATATTTCTTAGTTGTCAATGGATTTTTATTTTATTTATTTAAATGTGGTGCTGAGAATTGAACCCAGTGCCTCACACATGCTAGGCAAGCACTGTATCTCTGAGCCACAACACTAGTTCCAGTTAATCTTAACTGTTTTAAACCTTTTTTTAATTGATTTTATTTTTTAAATACATGACAGCAGAATGCATTACAATACTTATTACACATCTAGAGCACAATTTTTCATATCTCTGTATATAAAATATGTTCACACGAATTCATGTCTTCATATATGTACTTTCATCGTTGCTAATCCCCTGTCCCCTCTAATTCCTAATCCCCTCCCACCCCTCTGCCCTATCTAGAGTTCCTCTATTCCTCCCATGCTTCCCCTCCCTACCCTACTATGAGTTCGACTCCTTATATGAGAGAAAACATTTGGCATTTGTTTTTTGGGGATTGGCTAACTTCATTTAGCCTTACTTCTCCAACTCCATCCATTTACCTGCAAATGCCATGATTTTATTACCTTTTATTGCTGAGTAATATTCTATTGTGAATATATGCCATGTTTTTTTAATCCTTTCATCTACTGAAGGGCATCTAGGTTGGTTCCACAGTTTTGTTTAAACCTTTTTGTTATTTTTTTTCTATACATTCCTAATAATATCTTCAAGTTGAAAGATTTTTACTTAGTTTTTGTTTTTCAGTCCCATGGTTCTGGTAATCAGTTGTTTATAGTGCCATTATGGATTTATTTATTTGGAGCCTTATAAACAAAAGCCTTATATTAAAATTTTAATAAGTACATTAAGATAGAAGATGTTCTGGTGTCATCTTTTTTTAATGCAAATTGTCTTCTGAAACTAGTTATGAAAGTTATTAAATCATATATTACATATCAGAGATGATTTAATTATGCTTTGCTGAAGAGACTTTGACATGTATGATGTAGTGTGTGGTCTCACTATTATCTAAACTTTGGATTTATTATATAATTTTAGTACTGCTGAAGCTGTACTACAAGAAATGGACAACATTAATATCCGACGGAATCGACGATCAGGAGAAGTGGAACGACTTCGAATGTGGACAGATACAGAATTTGTGAGTACATTAGCTGTAGTAATCTTTTCATTTTTTTTTTTTTATAATTGCGATGAATAAGGAATTCGAAGGGAGAATGAACAACAGTGGGATTTTTTGAATCAACAATTGTTCTTTTCAACTTAGTTTGGAATTTTTTTGCTTGCTTTCTTCATTTCATTCTCTTCTTGCTGCAACCTTCCCTAAAAGACCCTTTATGCTTTTGCCAGATGAATCATCTTAAAGTTTACTTCTCTCACTGCTCTATTTTGAACATTTAATGGTTTCTGAATTATTCACTGAGTTAATTAAAAACACCTTGACCTTTGTAATCTGGCTTCAACTTTATTTTCTTACACATCATCGCCCAAATACAAACAAATCATTTTCCTCCATATATTTTACTCTTGCTAATATTTCTGGTTAGTGACTGATGTAATCCTACCACTTATTCAAGGTTCCTCACAAATGCTGCCTCCCTTCCACTCCTTAATAAGAGGAAGAATTTCTATTCTTTGGATTCTGGTGTACTCTTTACCTCTCTTTACAGCATTAAACTTGTTTTATTTTATAATTATCTTACTTGTCTTACTGTCACCTATTAGGGTACAGTTTGCTTGAGGGAGAAAGTATGTTTTTCATATTTTGTAAGTTTTTTTTCCATTTTGTCCTTTACAAATTCAGGAATCTCCATCCTCATAAATCTGTGCCTTATAAATAGGTGCTCAGTAAATTTTTATCAAGCTGGCATATTTCATTGGGTTGATATTATTTATAGCAAAGAATAAATGCCGTATTAATATCTGATGATTTCTCTCTTTAAAAGGAAAACATGGATATGTATTCAAGAGTGAAAAGACGAAGAAAATCACTAAGAAGAAATAGTTATGGGATTCAGAATCATCATGAAGTTTCTACTGAGGGTGAAGAAGAAGGTTTGTAAAGCACCTTATGAAGTAAATACTAGAAAGTTTAGGTGGGAGGGAAGAAAAATATTATGTACAAATTATAGTTGTAAAATATTGCTAGGGAGGTAATTTTTGACTTTTGAGGTCTATATTCTATAATTTGAAGTAATTTAAACTCAGTTGGTATTCTGGGTTTTCATTTCCTTCATTTGGGAAAATGCTTTTAACTACATTATAAATATTTATGTAATATATTAGTAATTCTTGGTTAGTGCTTGTGGGATCTAGTATGGAAGTGGTATTTGCCATAAGTTAATTAGCTTGTTAGGTGAGGCCTCTTTAGTATTTAGACACCTTCTAACTGCAATGTTAATTTGCTCTCCAGAGCCTCCAAATTTTGTTATTTGGATTTCAAAGTTAGTTATAGACTGAGGAGTAAAAGGTGAAATTTAGAGAAAGTGGAACTACTAATACTAGTGAAGTAGTCTGTATTGTTCAGTGAAGTAGTCTGTATTGTTCTTTACTGAGGCCTTTCTGGGTTTTGAACTGAAGAACCTAAACTGAATATTTTAGGCCTAAAACTGGGTACATGAAGAAAGCACATTGACTCCATGGATTATAATTGTTGAGCAGTGTACTATAGGGTTTAATTCCCCAGATATTGATCTTTATAGAAATGAATTTCAGGAGACTTGATGTACTATTGATATAGATTAATAGTACTTTACAAGGGAATCTTCCTAGTTTCACTGTATGTGTAGCTTAGATGAAGAAGAATACATTTATTTCTCAAATTCTGTGTTTAATACATTAGCTACTTTTGAAGAGTTGATATTTCTAATGAAGGTACCTTATTGAGCAAATATTATTGTTGTTACAGCTAGAACCTCTATATTGCTTCCTTTGGAGAAAAACAGTATAGGTGAGACAGATTTAAATGCGATTTTGCCTTTTCATTAACTGAATACATTTGTAGAGTTTCCAAAGTAAATATGCCATATATAGAATTTTTGCTCATAATGAATAATGTGTTATATGCAAGTTTTTTTTTCAGTAAGTAATTTTTTGAAGGCTTAGAAAACTTATTTGGGCACAAATATTTTATAGTATTACTTAGATAAGTAATATTGATTTGCTGATTTTCTCTACAACCTAACAGTAAAAATTATTCAAAACTTGAAATAAACTTTAAGAGACATGAGTAAAATGTAAAGTCCTTTGGAGTTTTACTGTTCTACTTCACTCAGCATTATTGGCAACTTTAAAAATTTTTCTATGCCTTAATTTGATTGTGTTGTATTAACAATTCTTGTGATAACAAAGTTAATCATAAAGTATATTGCATTTGGGGATGATATGCCTATAAATTTTCTTTATGCTTTTTAAACTATAAATAGATGCTACATCATAACTATAACCAAACCATTTTTTTAAAAAATAGGCTTTTAGGATTTATTGTACTTTATAATTCATTTAACTGCACGGATAGTGGATAGATGAATTATTGTGAGTTACCACTCATGTCAAGAACTAAACTATCATCAGTTCCGTAAAAGTCTGTTTTATACTTCCTTCCAGTTCCTGTCAGCATTTTCCTACCAAAGTGTGATTAACCCATGCTTAACTGTTGTCAACAGACCTATCAAATTATTATACTGCCAAAAAAATTTGTTCTGGCTATAATACCAGTGATTACCTTATAAGCCAATTTTTTTTTGATTACCAAGAGGTATTTGAGTCCAAATCATATTTGGTTTTAAATTATGCTTTGACTGAGCTTTGCTGTAGTTTGGAAAAATTTTAAGTCATGTTCTATTTTTTTTTATGTTTAAAAGTTCTGATGTAAATTTTTAATTTTTGCAGAAATCTGTATTATCATTGGTAGGAAAAGCAGCTTTTTTTTTTTTTTTTTACAGTTACCCAGGTTGATTTTTAATTGTATTGATTTATGCTATATAATAAAATGTTGACACTTTGAATGTCACCTGTGCAGAAATGGATAAAATGTAAATATTCACTTTTAGAGTGGGATCAATTCATAAGGATTAAAATAGTGCCTTTTTTATTCCTTTTTGTGTGGGGAAAACTAGAATCTCAAGAGGAGGATGGAGATATAGAAGTTGAAGAGGCAGAAGGAGAAGAAAACGATAGACCATATAATTTAAGACAAAGAAAAACAGTGGATCGATACCAGGCACCTCCAATAGGTAGGTGACTCTAAATAACCTCTTTATTTTTTATAGTTACATAGTTTATATTGCTCCACTGCTTTTTAAAAATACAGTATTTTGCTAGGTGCAATGATATGTTCCTGTAGTCCCAGTTAACTTAGGCAGCTGAGTTAGTTGGATCACTTGAGCCTCGGATTTCAACACTAGCTTGGGTAATGCAACAAGACGTGTCTCCAAATAAATAAATAAATAATTAATTAATTAAACAAATAAATAGATAAATAAATAAATAAATAAATAAATAAAATTTCAGAATGGAATCTCTTATATGTTTTACATATCTTTTCCTATTTATATTTCCATGTACACATGCAACTAAGAGAACATTAAAGTACATGGTAGCAACATCGAATTACTTACAGCAAGTACATTTTATTTATAGAAGTGTAATATTTAATAACAAATTCTGCCCATGCTTTTGTATTATTTATAGTTTATTGAACACTTTTATTCATAATAGTTATTAGGTAAGCATCTCCATGTCCTAAAAGACGTAATAACTCATCCATGGTCACAAAAGTGGTGTACAGCTCCAATTTTGCAATAGTAGGTTGTCTTGTTTTTTGGAGAATTGTTGAAAGTTTGTCTTAATACTGTTGAATCTAATGATATGTAATCAGTTTTGCAGGTACTATTTTGTTGCCCTTATTCCAGTTCTTGGGAAATTCCATAATTATCGATCCTCTAATTATTATTATTTAAAAAAATTTTTTTTTAGTTGTTGATGGACTTTTCTTTTTTATTTATATGTGGTGCTGATATTCAAACCTAGTGCCTCATGCATGGTAGGCAAGAGGTCTACCACTGAGCCACAACCCCAGCCCTCCTTGTTTTTTTTTTTAAATGAGATGTAGCTAAGTTACACTTCCTCCTTTCCCTCAACCCCTTGACAACCACTTATATTCTTTCTGTCTGTGTAGATTTGCATATATATGATTTTTTGTCTTGCACTTAGTATAATGTTTCCAAGATCTAGATTTTTTTACTCAAACTTTTATGGTCTAGCTGGGTACAGTGGTGCATGCCTGTAATCCCAGTGATTCAGGAGGCTGAAACTGGAGGATTGCAAGTATGAGGTGAGCCTCAGCAACTTAGTGAGATCCTTTCTCAAAGTAAAAAATAAAAAAGGGCTAGGGATCTAGCTCAGTGGGAAAGTGGCCCTTGTTTCAATTCCTAGTACAAAAATAAAAATCTAGAACAGTGATTGGTGCTCTGGAAGGGGTATATCAGAGGCATCTCACTAGAATGTGCCCAAGTACGCAGACATCCCTCTATTCCACTGTCTCAGCCTTGTGACTAATGAGAGAGGTATGTTATGACAGACAGTTGGGAATCATTGTTCTAGAGTATTATTTTTTTTTTAAAGAAAGCTTTATACTTCAGTATAAATGAAAAAAAAATATAGTTCATTTCACGTATTTATAGAATATAATTAGTCAGGTTTTATAATATGTATATTCCTGTGGAACTGTCACTGTAATCAAGGTAATGGTCATGTTCATCACCCCCCTGAATTTCCTCATTCCTGTGTAATATATCCTTACTACTCCCTTTAAATAAACAAAACAAAACAAACAAACAAAACTTTGGTGGTGCTGGGAATCGAACTAGGACCTCACAGGTGCTAGCTAAGCTCTGTATCACTGACTTACATTTCCAGCCCTACTCACCATTTTTTATTTTGCTTTCCCCTCTGCCAGTCTCTGGGCAGCTACCTATCTGATCTGTTTTCTGTTCCCTTAAATCAGTTTATATTTGCTCTCATTTTATATAAATGGAATCATGTAGTATATTCCATTTTTGCCTTACTTTTTCAATTCAGCATAATTATTGTAAGACTTATGTGTTGTTGCATGTAACAATAGTGAGTTTCTTTTCATTGCTGAGTAGATATTTTAGTGTATGGATAGCACTGTGTGTGTGTGTGTGTGTGTGTGTGTATGTGTGTGTGTGTGTGTGTGGTGCTGGGGATGGAATCCAGAGCTCCCCATATGCTAGGAAAGCACTTTACCACTGAGATACATCCTTAGTCCTTATCAATTTTTTTTTTTTTTTTGTGTGTGTGTGTGTGTGCAGAATGTGAGGTTGAACCCATGATCTGGCATATGCTAGGCAAATACTCTACAAGTTATACTGAGTTACATCCCCCAGACTTTTTAATGCATTATTTTATCCATTCTTTTTTTTTTTTTTTTTTTAATGGTACTGGGGATTGGACCCAGGGAAGCTCTGCTACTGAACTGCATCTCAAGATCTTTGTATTTTTTATTTTGGGACAACGTTTCCCTCAGTTTTCTAGACTGGCCACAAACGTGTGATTTTCCTGCCTCAGCCTTTTGAGTTTTTGGGATTACAGGTATGGGATGCTATGCCGCGTTCCATTCATTTGTTGATAGACATTACGATTGTTTCTAGTTTTGGGCTGTTATAAATAAAGTTGTTATGAACATTGTAGAAATTTGTTTTCATTTTTTTAATACTGAGGAGATAATGAGTGGATTTTGTGATTAGTTGGTTTGTGTGTGTGTGTGTGTGTGTGTGTGTGTGTGTGTACACGCTCATGCGTGCGTTCGCATGCACACTTCTGCTTATTTATTATTTTAGTGGTACTGGGAATTGAATTTAGGGTGCTGTACCACTGAGCAACATCCCAGCCCTTTTTTTAGTTTTTATTTTATATATATATATATATATGTATATATATATATAT